ACCCCTGAAATGGCCAAGTTGTGAAAAATAAACCAAACCAGGCTGGGAGACAACGGGTGCAGCTTGGAACCGTGCACCCTTCTGACAAGGCATGCGGGGAAGGATCTCCAGCGAGACAGTTTGCCAGAAGGAAGGCAGAGCAACCTGAAGCCCAAAGGTCTGGCTTTGACTCTGCTGCAGACCTGAGCAGATCTCATCATCCAAAAAATCATCAGGATGGGAATGACCTCTCATCACTGCACCGAGCACAGCAGAGCTTGGACTCAAGTGAGGGGACCTGGAGATTCCATAAAGCAGGAGGTAACGGAGCTGCAGCACCACTGCCCTCAGCCAGGCTCACTCCTTGCAGGTGTTTCCCAACGTGAGCCAGAACAGAGATGACAAAAAAAACCCAGAAAAACCAGAAGCAAACCTTCATGCCTTCTTCCCAGCTGATCCAGAGGTCTCCCCGCGTGAGGAAGCAGGCGACGGCGTGCCGAGCGAGGTGATGGATCCAGCCTTCCTGGCGCAGCTGGGTCATAATCGCATCGATCCACGGGAACCCCGTCTGTGCCTGCAGTGGCAAAGAAACATCAGAAACCCTGCAGAAAATCACAGAATCACAGACTGTTGGGGTTGGAAGGGAGCTCTGGAGATCCCCCAGTGCCACCCCCTGCCAGAGCAGGGTCACCCAGGGCAGCCCCACAGGAACGCGTCCAGGCGGTTTGGAAAGTCTCCAGAGCAGGAGACTCCACACCCTCTCGGGGCAGCCTGGGCCAGGGCTCCAGCACCCGCACAGCCAACAAGCTTCTCCTCACGTTGAGGTGGAACTTTCTCTGCTCTAACTTAAACCCATTATTCTTGTTCTATTGCTGGGCACCACTGAGAAGAGATTGTCCCCTTCCCCTTGACCCCCACCCCTCAGGTATTTCTATACATTAATAAGATCCCCAGAAAAGCTTCGTTACACTTCACCCCTCTGCGAGCCCCAGCTCAGGCAGCCTGCAGGGACCAGTCCCAAGGGAACACAAACACCCTGAACCGAAACGCAGGCGACGCGTGTCGTTACCGTTCTCCATTTGTGGAGCCTCTCTGCATCCTCGTACCAACTGATCTGCAGGCAGATGGGGTTCCCGGCCATCCTGGTGAAGTTTGGTGTCACTGACGCCACCGTGTAGAAGAATTCCCTCCAGAGAAGCTGCCCTTGGAGCGACACCGGGGGCAGAGAGTGATGCTTGGCCTTGCAAAAGACACGCTTTGGTTCATCCAGACTCACTCATTTTGTGACTGTCAGGCTCATAAAATAAAGATTCATCTAGCTACGCTATTGGCTTCACAGCACTTTACCACAAGAGGCGAAGAAATCAAGGATCTGAAGCAATGGTCTATGTCCAAAAGCAAAGCTGAACTCTGTTAGACCTCCCTGTTACCTCAAACATTCTCCACCAACCTTCCAAAATGGTGTTGCACCGGGATTTCCTAAACTAAACGTGTTTATTAATATATTAACTACTTGGGTAGCTGAATTCAGGAGGCTCAGTGGCATCTCGAGAGTTAAATCTTAAAGAAGGAGGTTCAGGGAGACCTTGGTTTTCTTCAGTTCGTTTCAACCATACGTTTTCTTAAAAATCAAACAAGCTTTCAGCAGTTGGCTTTGGCTTCTGCTACAGTTAAAACTTGTCTGAGATGAAAACAGGTGATTTCTAAAAACCAAAACTGCTTGAGCAGGCTAAACCGATCCAAAATGTTACTTAAACACCAAGCAGATGTCTTGAACTCCCTGAATTTTAGGAGGTTTTTCTGGGCTTTCCCTCATTCCTCCCTATTTATCGTACATCTAAAACTTTCTTGGGAAAAGATCAATGTATTCCTACAAACATAAAGCAGCTTTATAGGACGCTGCGAGAAGCCATCAGCAAAGCAGAATTTTTTGAAACCCCGAGTGTCTGCCACAATGATCCGAGCGTTAAACCCTAGCCTGAGCGCTGCATTCGCTTAACTACGACCCATTATTTTCTTACCTGAGCGTAAATGTTTGACAACCGGTAGAAAAACGTGCGAACCGACAGGCAGCCCAGACTGAAATAGGGGCTCAGGCCCGTGGTGCTTGGGAGCAGCGAGTTTGGGATCGTTCTCGGTTTAGTAAAACTTGCCACCCAGCCCTAAAATGGAAACAGAAATCCACGTTTAGGCAGCACAAGGCGACACGCGGCCGGGGGAATAAAAACTCTGAGTAATTGGCTTCCGCGTCGCAGGGGCCTGTTTGGTGTCATGGGTGGAAGATACTCAAGGACAAAGTGACTTTGTGGCTGCCATCCCTCTCCAAGCTCTCCAGGCACAGAGACCTCCCCAAAGGCAGGTCTCACCCGCGGGTGCTGTCAAGCTCTGCTCTTCCCAGTGAGCCGGGTGACTCCGTAACATGGGGAAGAGCTCGCTCGGTCCAGCAGCACCCCTCCAACGATCCACTTTATGAAATTGGGAGCTGGTCAAACATCTGCTTGAAAGGTTTGGCTGCCAGGAGCTGAGCCCCCAGCAGGGAAAACAATTCAGCTAGAACGGGAAGACTCCGTGGCTGAGCAGCTTCTCCAGGTTCTGACGCAAGCACCCTGAGAAGGACTCTGACCTCAGCCTGCTCAGAGCCACCACGCGTCACCCCTGTAAAATCAAGGCTGACCTGGTCAGTCAAGTGTTGCTCCAGGCGCTGCAGCCCCTCCGTCTCCCCTCCTCTCCAGGGAGAGAGGCTCTCCGGGGGGATCTTCAAATCCGCGGGGAGAGGCACCCTGTAACAGTCAGCCAAGCTGCGGTCGGGGCTCTTACATCTAACGTGAGAGAGAGACTTCTTTCAGAGCCAGAAGAGGGAAGAGGACGTCTGCCCGCTGCCAGAGCGCAGGGGAACGAAAGCACAGCCGGAGGCCCCGGGCTGCGCTCTCCTTGGGGGAAGAAAAGAGCTCGTCCTGCGACCACTCCTGGATTGAGGGAAGAGCAACAGCCCCGGCGAGCGCCAGCGCTCAGAGCAGTCAGACACCCCTCTCACCTCCCGCCCGCTCCCCAGGACTCCGAGGGACGTCTTCTCCAGCTGCCTCATCGACCCCTGGGATGGAGCCCAGAGCCTCCTCAGACTCGAAACCTAATCACTGGGCAGCGGCGCTGCCTCCGAAGGCTGCTCCAGCCACCGTGCCTCTGGGAGAGGTTTCGCAGGGAAGGAGGCAGAGCAGCTCCTTCCTAACTGAGGTCGGGGCTCCCCAAGCCCACACCTCTGAGCAGCCCCCCCACGTCTCTTCTGCAGCCTCAGCTGCTGAGACCAGCCCCCGCGAGGCTGGAGAAGCACCAGGGTGTGCTTTGATCCCCCCTGTAAAACACAGAAGGGGTTCAGGGAAGTGTCAGCACCATGCAGACTCCTTGAAAACCACGGAAGAACTCAGGAGGTCAATGGAGATCTTTCTGCTTACCTGGAAGAACTGAGCTCAGCTCTGTTGCAGACACCTACGGAAGGGGCCAGTGCAGCTCTCAGAGCACTGGCGTAACAGGGGCCTGCTGGGAAGCACGTGAACCGCTTATCTCTTGTCATCATTAATTTTAGAAGCGCAAATAAACCACTTAGGGGCAAAAGGGAAAAAAAAACCCTAAACAGCGCAAGGCAAAAAATGTAGGAACTGATCTAACCCAATACTCACATGGGTCTCATCGTGGGACTATCTGAGGACGAGATTCAGGAACTGATGGGATCCCCCCAAGAGCTCCGCCGAGGGCACCGACGCAGACCTGAGGCCCCTGACACAGAAGTCCCAAGGATCTGCCGTCCATCCCCCGTGACCAGCTCTCCCCTACCTCCCTGTGGGGCACTGACCTCTCCTCCCGCCGAGCTAAACATAAGACAGCCTTGACTCCGAGCTCCTTCTCAAGCCCTGGGAGACATGAGCTCAGTCCCCTCCTTCCTGCACAGCTGAGGGCAGGAGAGGTTTAAAGCCAGAAGGGAACAGTCTGATTACTCCACCGTCCCTCCTGCATAAAGAACAATCTACAGAGGCTCCAATTCCTACCCTAAATCTAGATTTGAGAGGAGCACACCTCTGAGAGAGAGACCTGCAATTCCTTCGTCATTCCTCTGTTAACAGCTTCATATACCTTAAAAGCTTTTCTCCACGTGCTTTTCAAAAGTTAAAGTCTTTGGGCCGTGCCACCTGTCATCTGCTCTCCTCTCCCGACAGCAGAGTCTCACCCCCTGCACGTACAACCGATAACCCTCCATGCCCGTCCCGTTATCGCTTGGCCCCGGTTCTTCTTTCAGGGAGAGAAAAAGGAGCTGCAACCTCCCGCCGGCTCGGCGTTACTCACTGGAAGTCCTGGGCTGTGAGGTTTCGGACGGGCACCTCGGGGTCACCCAGCAGAGACAGAATGTGAAGGAACCGCTTGTACGTCAACGGGGGGGTCCCGCCGTTCAGCTCCAAAATCCTGAATAAAACAAGATTACTTTTCACTATAATGTCTGTATTTATAGAAAGGTCCTATCATATGTGTTAAAGGATTCCTTCCATTCTGTTCAAAAGAGGAACTTAAGGTAAGCTTTTAAGTGAATTAAGCTGCCCAAAAGGGAAACAAAAAATTAACCAACTCTTTGGTCTCAATTCCCAGCCCAACATCCAACCCTCTGCGTGAAATCTCTTGTTACTTCCAGCAGACCAATGCAAAAAAAATCTCCAGCAAACGCTGCCACCTTCACCTCAGATGGTCCCATTTTCTCAAAAGCAACCCACGAGGATCCAGAAAGGCCAAGACACTCGACATTTTCTCCCTGATGCTTGCTAACTCTCTAACACCTCGCAGGTCTCCGGGGCGGTGACGTACCGCTTGGTGTCGTACAGGCTGTGACCCACCAGGGAAAGCACCTTGAAGCCCAGCTCTTCCCCCAGGCGCTGGATGTTGGCCTCCATCTCCTTGTAAAACGGTTCCATCTCCGCGTCCAGAGTCACCTGCGTGATCTCCCACCGCCGCACGTGGTCTCGGAGGACGGCCTCGTACTCTCCTTGAAGAACCAGCAAGCAAGAGCCCAGCTGGCACAAATTCTTCTGGAGATCTTCCAGGGACTGCAGCAGAAAATGCCACCGCAGGGCCCCTACGCGCATCGCGGACGTCACGAACGTTCTGTCCAGGATGTAGACGGGGTAGACGACCTCCGAGGACTCGAGCGCGGCCAGCAGCGTCGGGTTGTCGTGAAGCCGAAGCCCCTTACGGAAAAGATGAATGGTGCGATGCGGCATCTTGGCTGTTCTACCCAGACCTGCTGTAAAAAAAGAAGAAGGGAACCCTTGGGATGGAAAAAAAAAAAGGGAGCCTTTGGGATGCACAATCCCTATCAAGAACAAGGTCAATTATCAATTAGAAGAAGAGCTCCACAGCTCTTTTTACCACAAATTCCTTCTGCTTTTATAAGTTTTCATGAAAGAGAAAAGCAGAATTAAACTGCAACCCTCAGTCTCCTCAGCCAGGACCCACCTGTATCACCACCTCGCTCTGCAGGGTAGGGCTTCTTCCCCAAATAAGCCACTCAAGTCCCTAAATTAAATCCCTAAATTAAATTACATCCCCATAGCGCTCACCAGGAGGAAGGAATCCAAGCAGGCGGAGCTGCCAGAGCACCGTTTACTGCAAAACCCGCTTTATAATGCCACGGATGTAGGAGGATTCATTGGTTTGCCATAGCTTTTGTCCATCTTTCCGAGCCCCAGGAGACCTCCTGGTGCTTCTAAGCATCAGGAGAAGAGCTCTCCTCTCTCCACAGCAGAGCTGGGTAGTGATAACTGCACAAAGCTGCTCTTTTTCTAAGCAGGGCTGACCAGCAGGCGTTCACTCCCCTTTGAACTGCCCCAGCTGAGTTTCGAGGACAGGCAGCGGGGCTGATCTTGGCGTAACTCAGGGCAAGAGCCTGAGAAACTGCTCCCCAACCGTTCCCCGGGTGTTCACTGCTCTGCTCAAGGGCGATAGCTCCCAAGGGCGAACCCAGGAGCTCAGGTGCCACCTCCTGTTTGTACCAAACCCAGCAGCTTCCCCCCAACTCGCTCCATCCCGTGGAAAAGGGGGGAAGCTCGCCGCCGAGGTGGGTCCTTCTGATTTCAAGCGTCACCACCCGGAGAAGAATTAAGGGCTTAGCAAAGAACCAAACAACAATCTCTAGCCCAGCTCGGCTCCTCCAGCCAAACTACTCCACCCAAATGGCTCAACAGGTGACTCGGCCCCTTGTCCCTGCTCAGCCTGCGAGCGGCTGCTCTACCGGCTTTACCCGGGGACAACTTTCACCGTCCTGCTGCCCCCATCCTCAAGACAAACCCGGTCGTGCTCCCAGGCGGTGACACAGCCCGTTGCAACCTTCACCCAACTATGACAAGTGAACCCGCAAACTCGCAAGCGCCCGGCAAATGCGGGGTTCGGGCTTTGCAGGGTGCTCTGCTCGGGCATCGCCCTGCCCGCCCGTCCTGGGAGAACAGGAAAAACGAGGGTGACTCCCCCCCAGCCTGAGGGAGCACCCAGCTGGCGCTTTTGGGTCACAAACCACGCAAATCGTGCTGCAGGGAGCCACCTGCAGCAGCCGGCATCACCCAGGGGCTGCCCCAAATTGAGGGGCTGAACCCCCAAAGCCGTGGGAACAC